GGGGATAGGAGACAAAGGTCTCATGTGAACTGCCTCCAAACTAGACACCTGACGTTTACTTCAAAAACCCACTTAGACAAATGGCAGTTGTCCATTTGCTTTGTGACCATTGGTTTTTCCCCCACAGAGAAACCTTCCTCCAGCTTCAGTGTTCCAGTCCTTTGGAATGTCATTCTATTTGAAATAAGTCCTGGTTGCCAATGAGTGTTCTCCCTAAGAGACCCCATAATCTCCAGACATGGGAGTTTGTAACTTCCTTCAGAAAACTGAAGGCCCAAAACAGTCCCTGCCCAAGATCACAGAACAATTCAATGACTGTCTCACAAGTAGAATTATGTTTTTGTCTTCAGCGTGAGCTGCCTGTCTCCCTGGTCTGATGCTCTCTACCATTTTTTTTTCTAATAAAAATGACTGTATTTATGTGTGGGAAGTCTAGCTGCTACTAAAAGGATCATGGTGAAGGGAGGACTCAGTGGATAAGAGCACTTTGCCACACAAGCATGAGGACCTGAGGTCAGATGCCAGCATCCACTTAAATAGTAGGGTGGTTATGCACACACTGCATAGGGAGGAGGCCGGAGGGTCTCTGGGAATTTCTGGCCTTTAGCCTAGCTTCAGGCTCAGTGAGAGATCCTATCTCAAAAAAAAAAAAAAAATAAGGTAGTGACTGAGTAGGCTACTCAATGTCCTCTTCCACACACACTGGAACATACATGACATTCAAACACATACTAATAAAAAAAGAAAAAGAAAAGAAATGCACCACTCAGCATTTGTTTGAGTATAACGAGGTCTCATTTCCAAGATCACTTTTTGGAGACCTCTCTGCAGCAAGACTCAGTCGTCTTCAATAATGTGCACAGCAATTGCCCATTATGCTAGTTACAAAACTTACTGCCGGGACCAAATACCTGACAAGATGCAAATGATAAGAGGAGGGGTTTATTTTGGCTTACGATATAGGAAGGGATTCAGTCCTTCATTGTGGGGAAGGCTTGGTGTCTGTGAGCAGGAGGTGGTTGGTCACACTGTATTAGGAAACAGAGAGGATATGAGGCTGGTCTGTGAGCATCAATGCTTGACCACAATGACCTACTTATCCTAGTGAGGCTCCACCTTCTAAAGGTTCTACAACCTTCCAGCTGTTTCAGCGGCTGGGGACCAAGTGCTCAAGCACATGAGCCAATGGCAGGCATTGTGAAATCAAATCTTGATTTTTTTTAATGCTTCTTCATCATGATATACCTAAGGAGTGATGAAGTCTCCCTTAATCCAGCCTGTGCTCTGTAGTTCAGAGTTCTGAATTCAAACAATAAAATCTGGGATGCCAGTTTTCTAGTAACAATGAACTTGTCCACTATAGTGATGGGGGAAGGCCTTCTGTGTATATGTTTGTCTTATTGGTTGATAAATAAAGCACTGTTGGCCAATAGGAAAGCACGTTAGGTGGGACTAAGAGAGAAGGGGGATTCTGGAAAATGTAGGAAAGATATAGAGTCACCATGTGATTCCAGGGAAAAGAGGATGCATGCTGCTGGTATCCTTGATAAGTCTTTATAAAATATATAGATTAATGGTTATGGTTAATACTTAAGACAGAGCTAGCAAATAAGAAATCCTAGTCATTGGCCAGCAGCATCTGTGTGTTATTTGGGGGCTCTAACATGATGGCAGAACTCAGGCGGCTGGCGGAAAACTGAAGGCTGGACACCTTCAGTTATAGGTGGGAAAAACAACAAACACTCTGGAATAATATGGGATGAGTTACAGTACTGGAAGTGCAGAGCTAAGGGAGGGTTCAGGATTTCTTTGTATTTCCTACTGTGTGTTTTACGCATGTGTAGCATTGCCTCCCTCCATGAGGACCATGACCATGTGCAACAGTACAGCTGGGCCTCATACACACACATCCAGAGACAATCCTGGAGTGGTGATTTAAAGTGTTATTTTTCTTAAGAAAAAGGGAATCTTCTCCAGAAGTTCTTGGGCTGGTCTCCCCTCCCACTTCTGGTATAACGCCCTCAGGATCCCACTCTGAAACCAAATGGCAGGATGGGTAGAGATTATTGCTGGTTTCCCAGCAACTAGGAATAACATTATTTTCACTGGAGTCACATGGGGTAAGTCAAGAGAAGGAGGGGAGAATATTGTCTCACCTACTTAGAGTTATGTAAAAAACATGATGGGGGTGGGAGTGGCCACACATATAAAGGAAAACATTCAGTTGGGGATGGCTTCAAGGTTTTAGTCCATTATCAATCATCACGGCAATAAAGCATGGCAGCATGCAGGAAGACACTTGATCCACAGGAAGCAGAAGGAGGCTGTGTACCACACTGGGTATAACCTGGACATATGAGCCCTTAAAGCCTGCTCCTGCAGTGACGCACTTCCTCCAACAGGGCCACACCTACTCCAACAAGGCCACACTTCCTAATAATACCATTCCCTCTGGCCAAGCGTTCAAACACATGAGTCTGTGAGGACCATTCTTATTCTGACTATCACTTCCCACTCCCTGGCCCCCATAGGCCATAACAGAATGCAGAAATGCACCCAGTCCAATGTCAAAAGTCCCCATAGGCTATAACGGTCTCAACATTGTTTAAAAGTCTAAAGTCCAAAGTCTTTTCTAAGAGATCATGCAAGCTCTTAACTGCAATTCCTGTAAAACTTAAAATTGTAAAGCAGATCACATACTTACAACATACAGTGGCACAGGATATACACTACCTTTGCAAAAGGTAGGGAGAAGAGCATAGTGAGGAAATACAGGACCAAAACAAGGCTGAAAACCATCTGGGAAAACTCCAAACTCTGCATTGCCATGTCTGATGTCAAAATGCTCTTCAGATCCCCAATTCCTTTTAACTTTGTTGACTGCAGCCCACTTCTTTCTCTTGAGCTGGTTCCACTCTTGGCTTTCTTTGACAGATATCCCATGACACTGGTATCTCCAGCATCCCGGGGTCTCCAAAGCAACCCAGGCCTCAAGTTCACAGCTTTATGCAGTGGCCTTTCTGGGCCTCCATTCAGTGACACCCCTGCCAGACACCCGTCCTCAACAGCTTTCCCTAGTCATGGAGGGATATTCCATAACTCCTTTCTTCTGTCTTTGACTCTAAAACCAAAACCATGTGAGCAAAGCTGCCAAGTTCAGCTGTATTTTAGGACTGTTTGCTGAACATGGCTTCCTCCCTCCTTCAATTACTTCTTCATTAGCTTTCTGTTTTCCATGGTTTCCTTCACTGTCTAAACTTGGAGGTCCTGGAACTCACTCTGTGTACCAGGCTGGCCTTGAACTTAGAGATTTACCAGCCTCTGCCTTTTGAGTGCTGGGACTAAATGTATGCACAACAACACTGGACTCTAAGCTTTTCTTGAATTTCTTTTCATAGGTTGGAAGCTTAGTTGGTTGGAGTTTTGCCTTTATTCCACTCCCTTTATTCCATTTAACATCTGGCTTTTCTTTGATCAATTTATCTCCTTGAACATGGGACTTAGCTCCATCCTACTTCCTGGTAACCCCTTTCTTCTCAGTTTGTACATTTTGTATTTTTACCTGCTCAGCTCACTCCTTTAGATTATAAATCTTCATAAGAGTGAACACTAGTAATCACATAACGGAGTCTATACTAGGCTGTTTTGAGATTTCCTTTGCCAGTGGAATTAATCCAAAATGCTTCACTTTAGCCTCAGGCAGACTTTTGGACAAGGGTGAAAAGCAGCCACATTCTTCACCAAAATATCACAAGAACAGTCTCTAGGTCACATAATAAAATTCTTCTCCTCTGACATCTCTTGAGCCAGGCCCCTACAGTTTAAGTTACCTTCAGCACCACTGTCTTCCATGCTCCTACTAGAGACACCATGACCACAGCAACTCTTATGAAAAAATATATTTAATTGGGCCTGGCTTACAGTTATAGAGGTTTAGTCTATAATCATCATGGCAGAACATGGCATATTCAGGAAGACATAGTGTTGGAGAAGGAGCTGAGAGTTCTACATCTTGCCCCACAGGCAGGGTAAGGAGAATGAGTACTACATTGGGTGTACCTTGAGCATATGAGATCTCAAGGTCCACTCCCACAGTGACACACTTCCTCAAATAAGGCTGCACCTACTCCAACAAGACCACACCTCGTCATAGTGCCATTCCCTATGACCAGGCATTTAAACACATGAGTCTATGGGGACCATAGTTTCCTAGTAAAACCACCACACATACCCATTGGTGGCACCTGATGGCAGCTGTTCAATAACTTCTAAGATTCTCAAAGGCTATTTTCACTGGACAGAGACCCTATAAGATAGCCAAGACCTTAGCTCATAGGTGGCCTCATCAGAGCTCACGATGGCTTCAGAGACTATGGGAACCTCAGTCCTGAGTCAGTGATGTGATGCTAAGACTGGAAGCTTAGAGCTGGGATGAGATGGGGCTCATTAGAACCAGGAGGGAGCTTTGGGCACAAATAGATTACTAGTTTAACTCACACTAGACTGTAACTTGCTGGTCTACTTCTGGTTATGACAATGTGGAGAGGAAATGTGAAGGGTGGCTTGTAAGGGTATAGTGTTTTATCTCACCCATGTGCTATCAGAGAACTTACAGCCTGCCTACTTTAAAAGATGGAGCTGGGACAGTTACAGAAAAAGTCTTTTGATTCCCTGCTTTTGTCTTCCCTTCCCTTCCCTTCCTTCATTTTTCCTTCCTCCTCTTTTCTTTTCCTTTCTTTATTCCACCCTTATTTCTTCCTCCCTCTTTCTCCCCCTCCCCCTTTTCTTTCTATCCATCCTGTGGATCAAATCTTTGGCATCTTGCACTATGGGGCTCTACTACAGAGCCACACCCAATCCCACCTTTATATTTTTTTTAGTTTTGAGTTTTAAAACAATGACCACATTTCATGTAAAAGAAAACAAACTTTATTTGAAAAGAGAGAAATTGTATGCTCTCATTTAAAATAGCCTAACCTCTCCTCAAAGAAGTCCGGAGATCTTTTTTGTAGTATTTGAAAATAAACCAGCTTTATTTGAATCAGTCAATACCAATCAAGTCTGGGAAATGCATTTATAGCTGGCTCAACATACAAAGAATACATTTGACTTGGTGTGTATTCAAAGGCATGTTACATTTAGTAAGGCTTGAAAGCAAGGCCCGTTCTTACCACCATTAAGGGTCTCAAGAAAAGTGAGTTACCACCATTTGGAGCATCTACATTCATTACATTTGCTAAGTTAGTTTATTCCTCAGTTTACAAAATGGAAAAACTAGGTGACTGGGGTGGGGTAGGGAGGACAATTTTAAACAGCAGCTGAATACTTTGCTTGTTTTTATTTTGTTGCTTTGTTTTGAGACAGGGTCTCATATAGCAGGTTGGCCTCCAATTTGCTATGTAGTTGACCTTGAACTTCTTATCCTCCTGCCTCCACCTCCCTAGAGCCGGGATTACAAGTTCACTACCAAGCCTGAATATGTAGTGCTGGAGATCTGACCCAAGGCTTCATGCATACTAAGCAAACATTCTACCAAGCAAGCTAGATCCTAGCCTGATATTTTCTATGAATATATTCTTGGTCAACCTTTAGCTATATACAAAAATACCATGTCTTCAAAATTGCTTTGCAAACATCAGACTGATTTTATAGAAAATACAGTTTAACTCAAACCCAATACGGGAACAAAGCTTTGTTTATTTTTGGTAGTGTATATGGTGGTAGTGTAGAACAGATCTATTTCCTTCAACAACATTAAATAGGGTTTTGCAGTTTGATTCATACTTACTAAAAAGATGAAAGTGTCTTGAAACTAGGCTGAGAAAGGAATATTGTAAAGTGGCAAGAGAATGTGCTTAGAACTCGGCACAAGCTGTTAGTTTGAGTGGTAGAGAGCAGTGGCTACAAGGTCACTGGCCTGTCTGTCGAAGGGCCCCATGGCCAATGACAAGATCCTGAACGTTGTCCCAACAGTAGAATCTGGTGCTTCATAGGCACACTACTTTCCTTCCCAGTAACTAAAGGTCTTTCTTAATGTCATATATAGGTATAATATATGTGACTTTTTATGATACAAATGTACAGATTTTGAAATATAACCCTTGAGAATCACTATACATAGTTTCAACCACTAGTTAATGTTTCTTGTTTCCAAGCAGGGCCACATTAGTTTCCTGATTGATTTTGCTGCTGAATTGACTTCTGGACCATGGAGGGATGGAGGGAAACCCCAGAAGCACCTACCAGATACCTATTGCTTCTAGAATGATTTGATTGTAGATGCAAACTCTCTTAGTGATGGTACACTCTGCCTTGTCTTCCTTCATAATATAATTTGTCTGGGCCTGGCAGGTTCTTGGCACTCTTAAATAGTCAGCATTTGTCTGTGCCAGGCATGCTCTATTCCAGGATGGTCCTAAAATGCTTAGGGCTCTTTCTCTCTCTCTGCATAATGCCCACCTCTAAGCACAGGTGCTGTCTTCACTACTGTTGCCTCATCTCACAAGAACCAGAAGGCACCAGAAACATGGTCCAAACCTCATTCTTGGAGCATCTTCTTTTTGATAAAAAGATCAAGATCCTGTCTGGTCCCATCAGCTCCAGAGGGGAACACCAGGGACAGTGCCATCTACCAGAAAGCTGGAACTAGTTTAAGATTGTCTGGTCAAATAAACAGACTGACTCTTTTCTACTTTGCAATTGATTTGTTTGATGCCAGGAGCCTATCTAGATCTCCCATTTAAAAGGTGAGATATACACATGCCTGTGACCCTGAAGATTAGCAGGGATTTTCTTTTTCACAGCACTGAAATGTTCTGAAACAACCAAAAACTCACTTTTCTATCTTATTGTATATAGTTACTAATATCTTAATGAAAGCCTTTTCTCTGGGTCAATCTAAGACACAGGCAGTTTTAAATAGGTAGACACACTCAACTCAGTAATTCTGAATCTGACTCTAGGCTCTGTCTGTCTGTCTGTCTCAACTTCCACTTACCTCTTTACACACACAAGATTGCCATATGACAATCCGGGGTGAGAAATGAATACAAAGGAAATAGCTCCCTCAAATAGCTTCCCTTTCTCTGTCACCCCAATGCTTCTTGCAGGACTGGCATTTCCAGAACAGCTCCTATCCAGGCTCTGCAGGTAGTGTCCGCACTGCAAACCCTTGCACACAGTCTGGGCTGGGACTTGGAACCTCACCACCGGCTGCAGATGGTGAATCAAACACTTGACAAGGTTAAGGCCAAGGTCCAAAGAAGCTGGAGCCTCAGGAGAAAAGTCTCTTCTGGGGGTGGGGGAAGGGGTTAATCATCATTTGCTTTATTGCTATTTTTATACACATGACAATTATGTCCTAAAACACTGGTCAGTCTAATTATGATTATCTGACATTAAATTATTTCTGAATTCAAGTACTTGGCAAAGCCTCCATTCTATAATCATGTCTCTCTTTAAAGGGGTTATGACTGATCCTGTAATACTCCACATTGCTTAAATATTGTTATAAAACAGGAGGACCTTTTAGAATCAGTATTGACTTGCCGACTTCTGGGTTCAGACTATCCCATGAGGGTCCTGAGAATTCTCCCCTCCCCCTGGGGCCTGTCTATTATGTATACTGATCTTCATGTCTTCATTATCAGTCCACCTGCAGGACACGGGGGCTGGGAGCTGCCTGGAGTTAGCCCTGCTTGCTTATGAATTCTGGGAAGAATTCCTGAGAACAGCATGGTTTCCTACTAATTAAACAGCCTTCTGGATGGTTCCGGAAGTCGTCCCCCCCCTCCCCACCGCCCCAGGACCACTGGGGGCTCTTCCCTGCAGTAAAGGGCTGTTCCCTCAGCAGTGCTACACTTTTAAACATCCCCAGGGGAAGCTTGCAGAGAGCCTGTGGAAAGGTTCCTGTAGGGTGGAAATGAATCAACTCATTTTGCTGCATCTTCAAAGCCCTTTCAGGTTTACAAAATGACCTAGCAGGCAGAGAGAGTCCTCTTCCCCAATGGGCTAGGGAGACCTCCTGCTTCCTCCCTTCTCAGATCAATGGTCACGCTTTGCTTTGGCGATCCCTAGAGGCAGGTGGGCCCAGTGGCTGTTAGCTGTTAGCACATGTTGATGTTTCTATGGAAAGGACCCGTGCTGCCCCACCCTCCAGAGTAATGAGCCAAGTCCAGGGGCTTTCCGGCCCTCAGGAGCCTCGCCCTCCACTGGCAACGACACAGAAGGCAGGATTGTTGGAGTTGAGGCCCAGTGGATGGATTTCTCCCAGGCGCTCACTAGCTCACTGGTTGAGGAAGAGCTAATGATTAACTCATTTGTCATATATGGCTCCTGGTCATCCCAGGTTCCCATGTTCAGGCCCCATGAACTTTGTAGGTAAAACACAAGGAGAATGACTAAGGAGAGCAATATTAGCTTAAAAAAATATTGCCTTTTGTTCTTAAAATTCTGATGGTGGGAAAATCAACCCAGGACAGTGTATATTTTCCAAATTCAAGTTGTGGCTTCCCAGTCAGAAAGACCCATGAACTTTCTTCCTAAGGTAGCCCTTGCTCACCCATTCCCTAATAGAATTTCTCTGCCATCAGAGGCTGGGGCTGAAGAAACTAGAAGCCTGAGCACAGTCAGGCGGCAGCCCAGATCTGGAAGTGACTAGGAAGGGCCTGGAAGACGTTTTTTGGCCAATGCTTTATGGTTGGTAGGTGTGTCCTAATACCGTCTAATATTTAGATGAGAGAGAAGATTGCTCTAAAGGTTTACTAGGCTACACATCAAACTCACAACTTTATCTCCTCCCGTCCCTCCTCCTCCCCCTCCCATCTCTTTCTCCAACCCAAAGCCACTCATTGAAGAACACAGTCACACCCACTCACGTAAGCTCCAGTGAATGACTACTCTTAAGTCAGTGACCCCTGTGGCTGTAGACCCTGCTGGACCTTTTGGCATCAACATTGCTTCCCAGAAGTCTCTCTCCAGTTGGGTCACCTCAGTTTAGAATTATAGGTCAACTGCCTTTGTGGCAAAATGGAGTCAGACAGAAAGGTGGGATCAGTGCTGGCCAGGACATATTCATTCATATTACACCAGGTCCCAGCACTGCAGGAAATTGAGGTGTATCCAAGGGGACATGACAATATGGCCCTCTGTCAGAAATAGTGAGCAGCTGTAACTGCTCTGCTAGATTCCCAGAGCCACACCCAGCTGAGCCCCAGCCCCCCCAGCACTGTATCCCAATCAAAGCATGGATCACTCCCTACTGATCATATTCGTCTGTGGCCTTGCAGTTATTGGGAAGGTGGGGGTGGGAGAGAAGCTGGCATTGGAGTTGCTAAAGCATCTGGAAAAGTGTTATGATATTGGCAGAAGGGACCAGTGACAATCCCTGGGACGCTCTCCAAACTGACCCCAGATACACTGACCCTAGATCCGGCCAGCAGGCGGGAAGACCTGCTGCTGTGTCCTCTCCTCTTGCCAGGCTCCTGCGGGACAAGGCAGAAGGATGGCACTGATCTTAGAAGGTAGCAGGCTGGAGTTGATTTCAGGGGTGCCAGCAAGATGTGGCCTAATTTTTTTTCTTTTAAATCTTTCCTCAAGGCAATGAGGAAGATGAGTCTGTGGAGTTGAAGGCCTTTGGGAGTTGTAGAATTCCTCTGCAGCAGAATCGGGCCAGACAGCTGAGCTCAGGATCGGCTGAGGCGTCTGGCAACATCTTCGTAGGCCAGCTCAATCTCGCTGTCAGCTGCACAGGTGTTGGTGAACTCATCCCGTGCATAGGCATTCTTGAGGTACCGCCACAAGCCTGTCATCTCAGCTGGGAGGTCATAGTTTCGGTACTTCTTAGCCACAATCTAAACAACGATGACAAGACATAGGTGGTGTGAAGGCAGGACACAGGTATTAGGGCCATAGTTTCATGGGTGGCTGTGCATATTGGGTACATCTGCATGCAGTGTGGCCCAGAGAAGCTGGCTAGAAAGACTACCCATATCAGCAAGCTCTGGGTTTGATTGAGAGAGCCTGACTTAATGAGTCAAGTGGAAGAGAAATCAAGGATGACTCCTGACATCAACCTCGGGTCTCCACATGCATACACATTCATGTTTATATGCACCCGTGCACATACATGCCTACAGGCATGCAAACATACATATGCACACATCACACACACATACATACATACATACATGAAAATGAAAAAAAATGTGCTTTCCCAAGTGATATGGAAAAATTTTATGACAGACATAGTTGGTGTACAGTATAACATATTTGGAGAAACATGTATGACATCCCCAAGCATATTACCAGTAGAGTATTCATGTTCACATAGTCCACACTAACCTCAAACTTCGATGTGACTTTGAATTCCCAATCGTCCTGCCTCCATCTCCCAAGGACAAGGATTACAGATACATGCTACCTTGCTTGGTTCAAGTTTTCTTCATTTTTGGTCCCTCTTCTGCCTTGCTTTGAATAAGCATCCTTATCTTTTGTGTGATGGTGGGGGGGGACCCAGAAAAGTGAGCGAGGTATTAGAATATATATGTAGGTTCCAGATGTGCTGTGGGAATGGGACAATCCTGGTCTCTAATTGTTTCCTGTGTCCCCACACTTATGGGACATAGACCGGGATTTTTGGAGAAGTGGGGTTTGTGTTGCTGGAAATGGGAAATGGTGGTGTCAGTGGTTAGAGGGCTACTTCTGGGTCCCAGCTGACTGCATTCGTAATCCTGACAATCTGACAGCTGTGACCAAGGACAGATTCATGACACCTTTCTGAGCCCTAATTTGTTTGTCTCTGACCTGGAGGTGATAATAGGACTTACCTTGTGGAAATGGGTGAGTGGGTCCTGATGAAATGCTTAGAGGAGAGCCTAATGTGCAGTCAACATTCAACAGCCATTGTCTCATAAGATTCACTGGGACATGGCGTGTGCCTGTTTTCATGAATTTATTTCTTTACTACATGGAGGTGGGTGGGGTGGCTTTTTGAATAAGGTCTATGTAGTCAGGACAACTTTCTGGACATAGTTCTCTCAGCGCCTTCCTTTGTACACAGAAGGGCCTTGCTCTTGGTTTATTGCTGTGTTAATATCAGCAAATTCTTCATATATATTTTTAACAAGCGGCCTCTGTATTCACTCTTCTTTGGAACATGCTCATTAGTTAGTGTTGCTTGTGGCCCTCAGGGTCATGCAGAGGTAGCAGAGAGCAGTATCTCTCTAAGGGTTCTGCTTCTTACTTCCTTCATTTTCTCTAGAGAGTGGAGAGTGAAACCATGGGCCCTGATATCCTGCTGCTCAGGGACACCCTGCTCTTCTGTGTGAGGGTTTCTCTTTCCTTCCCATATGGATGATATAGAGTCCCCAGGAAATTATGCCAAAGAGTGGACAACGATAGCCTATTGCATGAAAAGCTCATTCCTGGGACCCTTCTACACCAGGGAGAGCACACGTCCCTTCCAGGCTCTCACTCCAGATCCAAGAGTCCCGTGCAACAATAAGGTACATTCTGTCCTGAGTCACAAATATAATGACAGCATCCTTTTCTCCTCCCAAGCTGGTAAGCAGCTGTTGAGCTTGGAGCCATTGACCGTGTTTTCATTTCTAGACCCTAATGGCCATGTAGATTGGAATAGTGACAGCTGACAACACTGGCTCACGAGCCTGCTCTCATCTGGGTATTGTGTTAAGCTACTCAGAACTTGGTGAAAGCTACTTAAGCATCTAAAGCACCCTGCAATGGTCATGTTCCTATTGTTCAGAAGAGAAGGGAGAGGCACAGACATTTAGTAAATAAGGTTTGGATAAACAGTTGAATCTAATCTTTGGTGTCCTCACTTATCCCACCATCAGACAAGGTGCATCGAGTTATATGTGATGAAACCATTCTGTGGTGTGTGCGTGTGTGTGTGTGTGTGTGTGTGTGTGTGTGTGTGTGTTGCAGAGGATTGAACCCAAGCCCCTCATGCATGCTATGCAAACCCTCCACATTAAGTCACATATCTTGTCTTCCAAATCCTTGCATTTTAAAGGTGAAAAAATTAGTTAGCAATGAGCAAACTGAAGACAGAGAGGATTGAAAGACTCATGACATGTCACAGGGGTTCTCAACCTGTGGGTTGTGACCCTTTTGGGGGTCAAGGGACCCTTCCGTAGGGGTCACTGAAAACATAGATATTTACATTATGATTTGTGACAGTAGCAAAATTACAGTTACGAAGTAGCAAGAAAATACTTTCATGGTTGGTGGTCGCCACACAGTGAGGAACCATTTTAAATGGTCACAGCATTAGGAAGGGTGAGGACCACTGCAGGTTATTGGGACTGTTGTTAAGATTGCTGGCCGCTGAGCAATCAGGAATGTGTGTGGTGGTTCCTGCTCTCCCCATAATTCTCCCTTCCATGCAGATCTATGCAAATGATGGAGAATCAAGGCAATTCAGATCCCAGGCCCTAAGTGCCAGTTAATAATCTGTGACCTCCTACTGTTGCACTCAGAGAATGACACCCTGGTGCTCAGATATCCAGAAAGACCCAAGACACTGCCTTGGGTTCCAAGTCCCTCTGCTTTTGTCCTGCCTCTCTCTGCCAGTTCAGACAGAAGAGTGCTGCCTGCTATAGCACTTGAACATTTCATCGCCTGTGTTGGAAAGGGAAAGGCCCCTATGCACATTTGTCCAGGGTTAGGTCCTCAGTCTCATTCAGACTCAAAATGTTAGCTTCTCACAGGGGTTCTCTGTCTTTATGTCCATCCTCCTCCTAATACTCATCAAAGTACCTTGCCTTCTCCATCTGCCTCTTCCCTTTGAGAAAGAGCAGGTATGCCTCAACTATTCTAGTCTTAGGTCTCAGACTTTGTGGATGGCCCCATGTTCCTGTGTAGTAAGTAATGAGTGACCCCCTCTGTACCTCCATTCCTCAAAACCTATGCTCACCTCTAAATCTGTCCCTCAGTTTGCTTTGTTGTTGTAACTTTGGGGTTGTGAACACCCTACTTGTGCCTCACCAGGAAATTTGCAGATTCTGAAAAAAAGTTACTATATCCTGCATCAAGGCTGGAAGCCAGGGCAGGAGGCACACACCCCTATCAGTGGGTCTACTGTTTTTCTCCATGGCAGCCATGAGTCCTGTTTGTTATTTTGTTCCTACACCTAAAACTATGTTGTGCCAGCTCAGAAAGAACAGGGCATGGCAGGGCTTCAGCTGCAGAGGGTTGGCTCCCAACAGTCAACCTTCTCTCTCACCTCAAAGCCCAGGTTTCATCTCTGCAGGACCCACATCTGCAGGGCTCCATGTTAACCCATTTCCACGACTCTGGTGTGGTCCCTGAGAAAGCAGCTGCCTCCAAGCAGGTACCTCCAGGTACATCTGCCTCCAAGCAGCTGCCTCCAGGTACATCTGTTCTTCAAGATGAAGAACTTCTTGATAAGAAATTATCCTTTTCTGGCAGTGAACCCCAAAGAAGCCACCTACAATGTTCTGTCCTGCTTGAGTGTGACCAGTAAGAAAAGGTCAACACTAACCACCAGTTGTTCCAGATCTCCCTCTGGTTACTACAAGGGGAGAGCCTTGCAGTTTGACCAGGGCCCTTTGAGAAGAGATTTTCTTGGCTTGGAGCAAATCTAAACAGTGATGATTTCCTGACTAAGGGAACTAGTTGGAATTAGCCAGGTGGGATAAAAATGGCACAAAGTAAAGTGGATGAATCTACTAAGAGCTGTTGTGCATGAAGTCATGAACTTGTAATACAAATACTCATGAGACTGAGGCAGGGAGATCTCAAATTAGAGAACAACCTGGACCATTTATTTGGATTCTACACCAGCTGATCTCAAAGAAATGGAGGTCAGGGGATATTTTATACTGATTGATAAAGCCATATTGTGTGAGTGTTAGCATTTTAATTTGGGGTTTGATTTCTTTGTTTTTGTGGTGCTGGGTTTCAAGCCCAGTGCTCAGTAAGAACTGTACTGGTTAGTTTTTTTTTTTTTTTGCCAACTTTGCATTAACTAGAGGCATCCAGAAGAAGGAAATTGATCAGGTTGCACTGTGGATATGTCTGTGGGGCCACTTTCTTGATTGTCAATAGATGTAAGAGTGCCCAGCCCACTGTGGGTTGTACCATCTCTGAGCAGGACGGCCAGGAATACATCAGAAAGGTAACTGAGTAATCCAAGTAAGCAGTGTTCTGTAGGGAGCTGCAGAAAACCACACCCAAAAGATGGCGCCGGTTTCCACCCTCCGCCAGCCCGACGGCGAGCGCTCTCTGTGGTAAACAACTCCAAATTTGGTAAAGGTCATGTATCCTCTTAATTCTGCTTGGAGACAACCTATCCTGGCGCGCCACGTAGGGTTAGGTGATTGGTAGATGTAGACTATATCAGGCCCCGTCTCCCTCGGCCGGGGGCCGCCGCCATTATACATTGTACAAAGCAAAGAGGTTCCCGACTAAACTGTGTTTGAAGAAGATTCCTCGGTGTGGCATCTTTCTTGCTGGTCAAGGATGGACGCCGCAGTGTTCCTCCTTGGCCTCTGCTTCACTGAATGCCTCTAGGTTGCTGCTCTGACTTCTCTTTATGATGGACTGTGAAGTGAAAGAAAAAAAAAAAAAAAAAAAAAAAAAAAAAAAAAAACCCAAGTTGCTCTTGGCCATTGTTTGATCAGAGCAACAGAAAAGCAAACTAGAAAAGGTATTCTGGGTTATCTTCATTAGCTTGAAATTGGCAGCCATGCAATTAAAGAATCTACATTTGCCTTTATATGTATATTTCTCTTCCAAGTTGCCCCACAGAGAACACATTGTGCTGAGCCGGGAAAAGCACACCCATGGAAGTTCAGACCAGGTTCTCAGTGAGTGTGGGCCACAGCCACTCAGCATCTTGGGATTGGGGACAGATGTGACAGGAAGACAATCAGGAGCGAGGGTACATAGAACTCTGACATCCAGAGGAACTTCCTTGCTCATGCTCTGAATTGGCTGTTTCCTATGAAAACAGTTAGCTCCCACAGTCGACGTTAAATTTTGGCGTCCGAGGCCAAACTGCCTTGGCTCCTCTTCACGCTCTCTGCATTGCAAAGGTTTGCTAGGTCCCTGGATCTGATAAGCTGGATCAGCAGAAACCCAAGGAGACAGGAGTCCAGGCCCAGCCTTTGTTCCCTCCTGGGCCATCCTCCATCTGATCCCCAGCTTCCCAGAGCTATAAATCCACTGATCTGTCTCCAAGGACAGGAGATTAACTTGGTCATTTAGGGCTGGATGGAGCTGAGGCACTCAGAGGATGGTGGAGAAGCCTGTGAGTGCCCTGTGTTTACCTACTTTGACAAAGGATGCTTAAGTGAGTTGCCCCAACATGTTGGAGTAGAGAGGAGAGAACGAAGGAAGGGAGAGGAAGCAAGGGGATTTGATCCACACCTCTTCTTTTAGGCACGAGAAAAATGAAATCCAAAAAGATCAAATGACTTGCCCTATTCCTCTCTGCTAGTTTGATGGCAGATGATGAATTAGACTTGGGTCTTCTGATCTTTCCATTATATCACTATGATGCTGTGTGACTGAATGGGCACCACACATACCTAATGGCTCAGCTTATTCCTCAGGAAAGGAGAAGAAAGCACACTTTGGTGGGTGGGGTGTGGGATAATTAATAACTTCAAAGTAACACACTTGGCTGGTCTTAACAAGAGATCTTTAGCTTGGCCCTGGGCCTAAAAATGTCTTCATACTCAAGTGTTGTATTGGCCTGCCCTAGAAGCATGTGATTCCCTCCCCAGTTTTCGCACTAACCCAGAGCTGCAGGACACTCACTCACACATGGATGGCCAGCTAAGTGACTTCACCACAAGCTGTCGTGTGCTCTGATTGGAGGAGAATCTGTGTATCTAGCTCAGTACTTCCGCTGATAGACCCTGCCAATGAACAATAGGCTAGCCTTCTCCTCAGTGAGGGGCAGACATAATATGACTATCCTAAAAGACACACAGTAGCTGGTTATATTGCCTTAGTATTTATTAAAGGGTTACCACACATGAAAAAGGCTCTGGTCTCATAGATACTACTATCAGAATGAGATGTCAAGACACGGCCATGGTAAAAGCAGGGGTTGTTTGGTCATGAGACCCTACTGCATGTTGCTCTTGGGTCTAGAGCATGTCTAGAGTCTACACAGTGAGCATCAAAAAGGATGGGGTTCAGGGTGAGCTGAAAAGGTGGCTGAGCCAAGAAAATACTTACTTTGCAAGCTTGAGGACCTGAGTGTAGATTCTTAGTCTAATTCATGTACAAAAACAGATGTGGTGGTGTACACTTGGAATCCCAGTACTGGGAGACAGAGACAGGAGGGTCCCCAAAGCTCACTGGCCAGCTAGTCTCCCAAAATTGGTGTGCTCTGAGTTCAGGGAGAGAGTTGACCCAACTGTCTTGAAAGAATAAGGTGGAGAAGGATTGAAGAAGACACCCAATGTTAATGTGTAGCCTCCTTGTGCATAGATTTAGATGTGCACATATGCACACACGCACACACACACACACACACACACACACACACACACACAGACAGAGGGGGAGGAAGAGAGGTGTCGGTATAGAGAACTCAGGAAGATCCAAATGCTGTCTTCCAATATCTAAAGAGGAATGGGGCTGTCTCATGTTGCTCTGGAGAAACGGGCCCCCACATTGCACAGAAGGCTGTCACAGACACAGCAGGAAGCAGACCATTGTGGGTCTGGAGACTGTTTGAACTAACCCCTAAAATTTCCTCTGTCGCCACTTTCAGAATGTGACTTTTGTGTAGGGAAGGTCGGTAGTATGTGGTGCAGATGGGCAGCAGGTGCAGTGAGAGAAAGCAGGGCTCTCTGCTCCACTCCATCTGCTTCAGCCAATGGGCAGGAAAAATGACAGGCGGGTACCAGAGGGAGCTTCTGGAGTCTGTGCATAGAGATCTATGATGGCCCATGGGAAACCATCTAGTGCAGGTATAAAAGCGCAGCGGGGATAACTCTGAGACGAAGCTGTGACACAGCTCTTTATACAGTGGCATTGTACTTATTATACTTTGGGCCCCTACAATATAATAAGCAATTTCATACCTTGCTAAGTCCCACGATAACCCCAGAGATAAACAACACATGACTATTTTATAAATGAATGCTCAAGGGCTAGAGTTCAATTCCCAACACCACATGACAGCTCACAACTGTCTCTAACTCTAGTTTCAGAGTATCTGATGCTCTCTTCTGGCTTCCATGGACATCAGGCACAGACAGTGTACATAAATAAATGCATGTAAAATACCCACACATACACATTTTTTAAAAATTTTTTTTAAGAAAATTGAATCTTAGAGAGTCTGGTCACCAAGCAATCTGTGAAGGCTGATTTTGGTCCCTAACAGATCTGACTTCATAGCCCAGGGTCATCTTGGCTCCCAGGAGTTACTATCCTTGATTCATCCACCCAGTTGGCGGGGCCTGAGATGAAGGCAACACCCATGCACAGACCCTCTCTTACCTTGACCACATGCAGCTTGGGGAGCAGATTGCAGTCGGCCAGGGTCAGCTCATCTCCATCTAGGAACTTGCGCTGGGACCCTTTCTCATCCCCACGGGTGTTGGTATCAATCTCCTCTGGCAGAGGGGTGTTCAGGTAGTCATCCAGCTTCTTCAGTGCCTTTGTCAAGCCCCTCTCAAGGGCTGGCATGGAAGAACAAGAGAAGGGTCAACTCACTTCTTACCAAATACAGTCACAGGGGCTTCAGAGTAGGCCAGGTGTGCTGAGTCACATCCTGCCACCGCTCTGCCTTTCAACACATACGATAGAACCCCTAGTAGCTATGAGCATGTTTCCATACAAGTGTACTAAATAGCCTAAAAAGGCAAACCCTAGGGCTGGAGAGATGGCCGGCAGTCACTGCTCTACCAAGACTGGAATTTGTTTCCCAGCACCCCTACCTAGAGCACCCCTAAGGTCTAGGGAATCTAACACCCTCTTCTGACCTCTGTGGCCACGTGTGTGTGTGTGTGTGTGTGTGTGTGTGTGTGTGTGTGTGCTTGTCCTCGCATTAATACATCTGAAAAAGTAGTCAATTAGTAAACACTAGTCACTTTTTAAATTCAAGCAAAACACTAGCTATTCCTTTTAATTTGATTAAATTTCTTTTACTTTGATTAAGATGTGCCTTCTATTAAATAAAGAATTCTGGCAGCTAGAGCACATGTCAGAGTATCCAGAGCTTATCTCCATCAGGTCCAATATTAGGCAACTTCCATTTTATTCTTTTATCTACTTCTATTTAGCCAATGATTGACGGCACACACACAATAATTTTGCAGAAAGGGCTGATTAAGTAATTAAAAATAACTCAGAAATAGTCCTTAGATAGGACCAGTTTTTGTGGTAGCATTCACTTTGACTAACATAGCTGGAGAATGGGAGGGGGCCTTCAGGAGACAGGACATAGGAATGAGAGCAGTTCTGTTTAGGGAAACTTGCAGAGGTGCAATGGCTAACAGAGTGGCACACTGGAGGCACATCTACAGCAGACAGCTCAAAGCTGTCCCAAATGGCTAGACCAACGCACCCGACAGGAATGGCTATTAGCAGTGTGCACTCAGTTCCACTTGGATAAACACTGTCACCTGCCAGGGATGCCTCTGAAAGAAAGAACACCTAAAGAAGACGAGATGGCAGAAGACATTTATAGTCCTATCCTGATTCATTAGCAACTAATTCATTTAGACACACATGGGCATAGAACCTTTTCATCATAGAAAGGTAACATGGAAACTTCGCACCTTGAATAGACAGGGTAGCAGCAGAATAGATGGCTGGTTGTTCATCAACCACTGTACTTGTGACATCAGCCCTGCTCCTCAACCCCTCTCCCCCAAGACTCTGTTTGACCGCATGCTCCTGAGATCCCAGGAGTCCCAGCTGATCCACATGGAGACCAATACAAGGGGGGCATCGCCATCCAGAGGAGAAACAAGGAGGTTTGTCCTCCTTGTTGCAGCTTCCCAGATGTGCCTTCTATTAACTAGCCACTCCCACATCGCCCACTTTTGTCTTCTCATAGCAGGCCCTTTGTTTGAGACAATGGAAGGACCCCAGTCTGAGGCAATGCCGCTGAACACTTCCTGGAATGTTTGGAAACCAGCTAGAGGCTGGCCATTAGTTTCTCAATACTTCCTTCTCCCTGGTGTGGCATTTGAACTCGTCTTCATCATCTGCTTTGTGTTTCCAGTTTTAGAGAATAGAGCGAGAAGGGCTGGGAAAAAATGCTAGACTTCCCTTCAGTGATTGTCTAGACTGTGATGGGATTACCAGACTATTCATGGGCGAAGGCAGAGGGTGGGCACTAGACAATACTTATTATGCTTTTCTCCCCAAAGCGATTGCGTTTCATGCTGGGTTTGTTTGCTTACTCAAATCCTTCTACTCCCTTCAGTGATAGAGTGGGCCAAAAACCCAATCACAGTGGGAAAAGGAAAGAAATAACACAATATTCTAGTTTCATTTCTGTTGTCTGGCTAAAATAGCCTGATACAAGGCACTACTGGGAAGGAAAGCTCTTATTTGGCATGTGCTACTGAATTGCAGGTCATCTTTGTAGGGAATTCACACTGAAACAGCTATTCACACCCTCATCCATAGTCAAGAGCAGATCGAAACAAATATACCCAGGCTGCCTTCCCGAAGGCTTGCTCTCTTATCTAGCTTTTCCTATCCAGTATAAGTCAGGCAGCTTCCCCAACTCCACGCCCCCCTCCATGCCTAGGGAATGGTGCCACCCACAATAGGCTAGATTTCTTCATACCAATGAACCATCGATATAATTCCTGGTCAACTTGATCTAAATAAATCCTCAATTGAAACTCTCTTCCCAGGCAATTCTAGGTTGCAGCAAGTTGACATTTAAAAATGACCATAACACAGGGTATACTTGTTAAATTTTGATCAATTTATATCAACCAAGGTATACAAAGGAGTATGCAAAGGGAAAGGAGACATTCCAAGTCCTAGCTCCAAATGCCTCTTGCAGACCTTGCAGACCAACAGCAATGAATTTTGGCAAAGAGGTGTGAAGCAATGATGGAGACCTTGGAAGACTAGCTTAGGATAGATTCCAACTATCATCTACTGATTTGTCCAACTAATGAGCTCTTTAAATGGAAGGGGTGAAGTTTAATGGCAGATGTAGATGTGTCCCCTACATCATTATTACAGCATAATGAATGGTATGTATATTCTGCGCATGCTCCCTGCTTGTCACCAACTTACCCTGCAGCTGTATGTCCTTGGTCAGAGGCATTGAAGTTGGAATTGGTGTTAATCATGGTAGAGACTTGAGACGAGAAGCCAGAAAGAAGTCACATGACCCGTAACTACCCTTGATTAGGATTTGTATTTTGCCTAGAATAGACTCACTGTTGAGGTTACAGCTTCAAGTTCCTTTAACTGAAGTGCCCTCTCTAAGACCTTGGGCATGACTTTTTCACTTCCTTGTTTAAGCTTATTGTATTAGCTTTGGGCACCCTGAATTCCACCTGTGCCCCTGATCCTGGTACCTCTCTGTGACTAGAGGTTAGCTCCTCAATGTCATTGCATGACAGTTTCAGTAATGACATCATCTCAGTAATGACAACGAAGATTCCCAGGTCACACATGGGCCCTTTTAGGCTCACTCAACTAGGATATTTCAGGGAAAGTGCCTGATACAAGGGCCTGGACTGTACCAAATCAGTCAGTGGTTATCATTGTCACTGTGTGACTCAGTTCAGCAGTCATCCTTCTGTCCTGTGACCCCCCCCCATAGTCTCAAATCTGTACACTCTTAAACATTCCAAGACGCGGCAGAGAAAGTCAGATTTTGCGTAGCCTCGATTCTGAAGTCAAGTCCCCAAAGTGGAGCTTTCTTTCCTACACACAATGGTTTTTTGAGACAGGGTTTCTTTGTGTAGTTTTGGAGCCTGTCCTGGAACTAGCTCTGTAGACTAGGCTGGCCTTGAACTCACAGAGATCCTCCTGCCTCTGCATCCCGAGTGCTAGAGTGCTGGGATTAAAGGCGTGCACCACCACCACCCAGCACTTACTTATATTTTTAAAATTGTTTCTGAGATTTGATCATGAAACTTATCTAGTCAAAGATGGCCTTGGACTTATGATCCTCTTGTCTCCACCTCCCTAATGCTAAGATTACAGGCATGCCCACCACGTTGAATATTTAATGCATAGCCATGACTATGTCCCCTATGCCCCTGGGAATCCTTGTTGGTGACCAACAATGTAGAAAGAGATGCTCAGAGGGAAACAGACACACCATACCCACATGCTGAAACACTCCAAGCTAACAAATCACCTTAGACATTCTCTTCCAGCTCCCTCCCTCTTGCCTGTTGTCTCAGTCCTGGAGTCACAGGATTAAATGATCTCTTTTGACTGATGGCATTTGGTCATGAAAACGCTCACAGCAAACTTTCTACTCTGGTAAGATGAATAGGAAAGAGACCAGGGTGACAGGCAGGGGATAGTAACTCCTTCAGTGTGTGTGTGTGTGTGTGTGTGTGTGTGTGTGTGTGTGTGAGAGAGAGAGAGAGAGAGAGAGAGAGAGACCTTGCCACTAAAGACTTCCTCAGAGACACTGGCTGGGGCAACTAATCTCAGGCAGGCCACAGCAGCACCCAGTGACCCACGATGACTAACATCCCATGAACTTGATGGATACCCAGTCTTTTAATTGCTCTGTTCCCCTCTCCTTCTCTGCTCCCCATAAAGATTTATTCCGTACTACACACAAATGTGCTGGGTAAAATATGCAATGAGGAAAAAGGGGAAGAGTTCATAAATATTCTCAGGCATATGCAAACAATCTCAAATTTATTTCTCTCTCTCTCTTTTTTTTTTAAGGAGGGAAAAAATCCACCCATTCCATGATCGCTTCCAGATTCATTGAGGTTGCTGTTACATAAGAGCCAATATTGTTTTCTCGTCATAGAGAAATAATGAGTTGGAAATGGCAATTTGAGCTAAGAAAATAATATAGTCTTACCAAGGCATGGAGACTGGATGAGGAACGGGGAGCCAAGATTCTAATCCAGCCTCCAACAAGTTTCTGCAAGCATGGCTCAGCCCTGGTTTGCCAGCATCTGGGCACAGCATGGGAGCTGATGAGAGTGAAGCTAGCAGCACCTCTGGGTCTCAAAATTCATGCAGAGAGGGGCCGATGTCAAGGGTGGTTTTTGAGAAGATGGAAAGCAGGTCTGGGCTCAGGAGGTTTGTAGGTTCTCCTGTGTTTTTCTCTGTCACATGTACTTGGAGAAGTACACATGTGTTTAATACACTCACACAGTCACATTCGTATAAACATAAATAAAAAGAAATCCTCAAAAAAGAAATAGGGGAAAGAGATGGCTCAGTGGTTAACATCACTGGCTGCTCTTGCAGAGGACCCAGATTCAAGTCTCAGTACTACACAGGGTCTAACAAATGGCTATAACTGCAGTTCAGGCATCCATTGCCCCTTCCTGCCTTCCTTGAGCACTGGGTGAGGTGCAGAAACATATATGCAGGGAAAACATCCATACACATGATAGGAAATTTTAAGTTTTGTTTATAAAAGGAATCAAGGCCCACCTCGGACAAAGGTCAGCAGCCTAGGTGGGTGTCTGCCCAACTATTTCATGGAAGGGCATGG